AAAAAAAAAAAAAAAAAAAAAAAAAAAACGATATTTTTTTTGTTAGAAAAAAGATCTTTGAACATTTTATCGTCAATGTTAGTTGACGACTGCAATGTGTCAGATTACTGTTAATATAACAGTTAAGTATGACAGCAGTAATACAGATAATACAATGGATAGACAACAGTATTTTCAGCTTACAACCATAGAATTATGTAATGCTCAGTTTGACTAACTTAGATGCCATGCATCTGAAAGATTTAAAGAAGTATGAAACCGTTGATAAAGTGTGCTGTTAATCAAAAGAATAATAAAAGCAATTTTATATAAATCATTGATAAAAAAAAGATGTAGGTGCAACATTCCAATGCTGAAGTCTATTTTTACAACTTATTTTTTACCTATTTTCTCTACTTTTTTTTTTTCTTGCCGCTGTCAATTGTTGGCTAAAATAAAATAAAATAAAATGTTCAGCAATGTAATGCTCTAAAAATAGGTTGAACAAAACAACTGCTAATTATTGGTAATAGTTTTGCAGTTGTTACAGACTTAAACAACTATACAATATGAAAGTTCTGAACAATTATACATTTGCTATTAAAAAATAATCAAAAAAAGATGCAGAAAATTGAAAAACAAATTTAGCTGTTAAGTAAAAGAACAGTTGAGTGATGACAATGTTTGAATGCACGAAATTTTAGAGGAAGTTGGATGAAGGAGAAGACCTGGAAATGTATGCAGTTTAGAGGAATAGAAATGATTGAAAAAACAGGAAATATTGTGAGCTTTAAAAAAAAAACCTATCAACTATAATTTGTTTTCTGCATCACCTTTTTTCTTTTGAAGTAACTAAATTGATTTGACAAATTTCTGTTTTCTTTTTTTTTTTTTTGGTAATATTCTAAAATTTTAAGAGGTATCTTTCTGTTGCTAAACATCGTTTTCCTGGCTTTGTATAGTGTTTGGTTATTCTCTTCTGGTAAAATCTATATTGGGTGTTCAAATAAAATAAACTTTGACCAAGGAAGTAAAATGAACGTTTTTTTTTGTATCAATTAGCAAAATTTTTTCGTCGACAGTTAATAGTTACTTACAGTAACCTAAGGTTTTTTTCAAATATTTAACAGTGTTTCCTTTGCTTCTTAACTGATAAATTTTACAAAGAAATGCAACGATTACCGATGACATCACTTATTAGCCTAAGCGTATAGATCACGTAACTACTTCTTTTTTTCTGCTTTTGCACACTGTAAAAGCCACTGAAAATCAAGGAAACTTTACTGCTTTTGTTGTTAGCAAAAAGAAGAGAAAAAAGTCAAACAAAAGAGGCACAAAAAAAAAAGGATTATTTGCGTAAAATTATGGGAATTGGAATTGATACGAAAAAGTGAAAGTGATAGGTCGTTCAATCAGATGACTGTGCAAAAATTACATTTACTTATAAAAATAAAAAAAAGAACGAGAAAGATAGATTATAATTTTATTGTCAAAAAGAAAAAAAAAGAGGTTAGAAAAGAAAGATAACTGTTTAAGGAGCTTTTTTTGTTGTCGCTAAAGGTAAATTTTTTTTTAATATTTATTAGTTAATTAGTTTTTTTTTTTTGGTCTATTTTAGTATTTGGTTCTTCTGGTCAAACTATTTTTGGTTACCGCCTGTTGTTCTGTTTGTTGTCTAAGTAAAAAAAGTCTTTTTTTTTATAATGACCAAAATAATCTACGTTACCTTGTCAATTTTTTTTACCTCCTTTTTTTGAACAATTGCTTAGTTTGATTATATTCTTTTTGCTAAAATGTAACACTGTTCTATCGCACCTGAATGATCCACAAGGGTATAAATCTTGGTTGGCACTTGCTTGTTTATTTATTCATTCAGTTTTATTGTATTCAGTTTCACGTTTTTCTTTGTTTAAAACAAAACTTATAAATGAAAAAATAGTTTTTTCTTTCATTCAGTTTTGTAGTCAAGGAAAGTTCAAGGTAAAGTTTCTCATAACTTTTGAAAAAAAAGAAGCACAAGAAAAATTGGCAAACTACATAAGAGGTTAAAATAACCTGATTCTAGACCAATTCTGTATAAGATAAACGTTAGTGAAGTTGAATTCAGATTGGTCAACAATCAATGATTGATTATTTAGACGAAATTACTAAAGTTGGTTTTGTTAAGTGGTGTTTTTTCTTTGTTCTGCTGCTTAGAATAGAAAAATAAGAAAGGAATAAAAAAGCGGAAGAATTGTTGTCAGTCTTCTTCTCTACGCTACTTTTCATGTTTGATTCATCAAAAACCAATATGAGGTACATATAGATTGAATCATTCGAAACGCATGCCTGTCTGCATTCAAATGACTGATCAAAAAACATATGAACTGTTATGAACAGAATGAACATACTGGTTAAATAATGGTTGTTCTTCAGTTGATCATTTTACGAATTGACGAATACTATTAATCAACTAGAATGACAGAATTTAGATATTATATTCATTATTTATGTCATATGTTCGACAAGCAGCTCAATATAGTCTACCCGGCTATTATCAATCACTGGTCGCCAGTCATATTTTGAAAATTGTTCAGAATTTTATATCAGACTATAGTTACCATGATGAACAATGATGATGATACGTTCGTTGCCCCATTTGAAGCTATCACTTGATCTTTGATTTAGTGGCTTATTAAATATGGCTTTAAGCATGTTCACTAATAATTAGCAGCAGTCGTTAGACTGCCGAGTCTGTCGTATAATAAATAAATTAGTAAAAAAAAAAAAGGAAAAAACCAGTAGAAGATGCTGCTACTGATAGTTTTATTTCAGCTAAGTTGTTTAAACTCAAAAGATTAATGCTTCTAAACTCTCAGAAATTTAACATAGCCGTAGTCACGGTAATATAACTGAAGCTAAAAAAAGTTTTTTCCTGTCACTATCAGTTGGGACAATTACCCTTCAGAAGAAAACAGGATTATACAAGAACAGACGACATAAAAAACAAGCAGAATAAAGAGAAACAAAAAGTAGCTAGCGCTAAGAAGCGAAAGTTATTTAAAAGAACAAAAAAAAGGAAGTTTACAGAATTATTCCACTTTAATATTGATAAAAACTTTTTCATTCTCTTTTTACACACAACCTATTCATCACTGAAAAAAGAAGAGGATTTTTTCGGTATATTTTACTTTTTTTTCACCTTTTAACGATGTATGTTGCTCCAATTGACCATCGCTAAGTAAAACTTGTCACGAGGACTAATCTAAAAAAGAAAAATTGTATTGTCACCAAATTTTCAAGTCAATGCCATCTATCGGTTTGACGTCGTTGTGGCAGTTTATTGTTGCCGTTGTTGTTGTTGTTGTTGTCATTGTATCTGTTGGTACTGTCTTCATCATTTGAGAACAAGATCTGTTAGTGTTGTTTTTTTTCCTCTGTTTTCAATTTTTAACCACTTTAAGTGCGACAACAACAAAATTAAAAATTAAAACAGAAATAGTAAACTGGTAGAGCACAATTTTACCAGTAATTTCTATAACAGCTAAATGACGTTAATACTTGTAACAACAGGAACAACAGCAAAAGCAATATTTATCTGCTTATTACTGCTATTGATATGCAGCGGAAGACAGGGTTTGGCACAACTGAACGGGCCAATAATTTGTGATAAATCACAAGTATGTTTAAGAAAACCGTTGGGATGTAATCCAACTCATGACTGTACATTATTTGTTAGCTTCTCTGTTGATGGTGATAATTCATTACATATTCAAATGTCTGCACAAACACTGATACCGGCTGTTCCACTGCAGTATATGGCAATTGGATTTTCACATGATCAAGAAATGGTAAAAAAATTTGTACTCAAAATTTTCTTCATTTTATCTTGTGCTGGTTAGACTGGTATTGTTGTTTTTTTTCCTATCAGCTTATCACTTTCTTTTCTTCATAGAATTTGTCATCATTGAACTCTGTCATCATTTTTACTCAAAATTTTCTTCATTTTATCTTATGCTGGTTAGACTGGTATTGTTGTTTTTTTTCCTATCAGTTTATCACTTTCTTTTCTTCATAGAATTTGTCATCATCAAACTCTTCGTTAATGTCAGCAACAGTACTGTTTAACAAAAAAGAGAAAGAATGAATATTTCTTTAAAGTATGTTGATAAGTAAAATAGAACATTGTAAAGACTATTCAGTTTTTACATGTTTGAAGTAATGTAAGTAAATAATTCAAGAATTACTTTCACTTTGTTGGGTCTAAATGAATTATGCCAATAATGATAGGCTAAGAGTTGATGAAGGGAAGAGAGGAGAGAAGAAAAATGAAGTAGAGGAGGCTTGAAAGTCACGTTTTGATACGTTTAATTGGCAGAAGAAAGTAGTCTAAGCAATTGTTACAGAAGACAAGACTGAACATAAGCGTTCGGTACCGTTTTAACAACAACAAAAAAAAACTGTAATTAATATTGGAAAGCATTTGCTGATGTAAAAGAGCAGAGGAAGATTAAGTGGTTTTAGTCTCAGACGGAATGTGATTTTGTTTTTTTGACAAAATTTCAACACTTTGCTGCTGAAATAGCGCTGAATAAAGTTGAACATTTTTTACAGTTAACAATTAGCCATCTGTAAAGCTTTGGAAAGCCTCAAAAACACTGTATCTAATTTATAACTGTCTTAATAAAAAAAATTAAGAGATTCATCTAAAGTGTTTCTTGAACTAAGTTTACAGAAATGCTTTTTCAGCATCTGGTTAGAAGAATTTACTGCGCATCTTTGCTGTTTGATACCCATGTTTAAGCAGCGACCAAAAGTTTCTGCACTTTCAATTTTTCAGTATCTGTATTGATTTGTTTCACGTGTTTTTATTTCTTCAATCAAAAATAATAAGAAGTTTTCAAAATAAATAGGTTTTTTTTCACTTATAATTCTTATTTAACTCTTTTTTGTTGTTCTTTGGAAGTCTCAAATCGATGTATGTTAAAAAGCTTTTACGTTTTGTTGTTACAGGTTAACAATATTTTTTTCAGTTATAAAGGTAACAAAAATTAGCTGAAATTTTTTAATTTGATGCGACAGAAATGAATTAGTAGTTAGAAAGGTTGTTCTGTATACTGTTCTTGACCAGTGTTAAGAAGTGAAGAGACGAAGTAGAGCAAGGGTAAGAAATGCAAAATCAAGAACGACATCAGGTTTTTTATAGAACTTATAACCAGTAAACCTGGTACAGAAAAATAGCAAAAAAAGATTTAATCGATCGCATCGGTCTTAAGGTTTTGGGTAAAACTTGGTAGCTTTATTTCGGCTTTTTTGGTGTTGTACCATTGCCGTAAAACAAGAAATGTAAGCATGAAACTAGACTAGGTGTCGAATGATTAAAGATAGTTTTCTGTTAGAGTTAGCCAAGCGTTCAACTGTTGGAGCACTGCAAAGCACAAAACTGTACTTGAGTTTCCACTTCCACTAAATACCGCCAGTTTGGTAACCTAAATATTGTAAGTGCCAGTCACTTTTTTGTATTATTGAAATTGTAGATTGAAGGCAAAAAAAGTTAACAGAAGAAAACAGTTCTTCTACTGCTTAGGTTAATGAAAAAAAAACATCTTGATATATTACTAATCAAACATTGAAAAAACTTGAAGAAAAGTCACATAGTTTAAAGGAAACAGTTAAGTGGAAAAAAGAAATGTATTGGTTGAGTAGTTTGTGCATTTTTCACCATAACACTTCAACTTTACTTCAGTAGATTCAATAAATTATAAAAAAAGTGCTTAGCACTATTTGTGAAGCTCTCAGATGCTTATAAGGTTCAGGACGTTTGACGTATTTTACATGAAATGCTGTTGCCAAACAGCGAAGATATCACTGTATTTTATAGTTGTTTCTTGTTTTTTCTAGTCTTAATAATATATGACTATTTTAAAGTTATCAGAAGTCCAAAAAAGAGGAAGCAGTAAAAAGTTTTCAAATCTTTAGTTCAGTTTCAAATTACTTTGATTATAAAAACAAACAACTTTATGCAGTTACGTTTATTACAATTTTAAAATCTCAGATCATTGCGATTAGAAAAGAAAAAAAAAAACAATTAAGCGAAGTATGAATATTGGTTTTGCTGAAGCTTAGAAGTGATCTGATGGTTGCAGGCTGCGGTTATTTGCTGAAGAAATTCTGCAGCAATTTTATGCTTTTTTTGGACATTTTGTCATAACTTTTTGCTACTTTAATTGTAAACACGGAACTGCTGGTACTATTTATCTAAAAATTTTTGTAAATTTTCCATCATATATATTCATTCACATCTGATGTTTTAATTTTTTTTAAAAGGAAAGAGTTTGCTATATTTTTTCTAAAACAGTTACAACAGTACATATTTACTGAACGAATTTAGTGAATACAAAAGTAAATTGATTGTAGAAGGAAAAAAAAATTTAGAATTTTTTTTAA